GGAGTTGCTGAGGAGGGCTTCTGAATGAGAGTCAAGAAACACTGGCCCCAGAAGTCCTGTGCACCACCCAGACTGCAAAGAGGAGAGGTACAGGCTAGGAATGGACGCATCTAGGATGCATCATATGCGTACGTCTAGACTACAGGCTTTTGTCGACAGACTACATCCAGTTCTGTAGACAAAGCAAGCCGCTTTGTCAACATGACAGTGTAAACGCAAAGGACAGTGTAGATGCAATAATGCCTTCTGTCAACAGAACTCTGTCGAGAAAAGGCATTACTGTATTCCTCATAGAATGAGGTTTACAGCCGTCGACAAAACTGCTGAGTTCTGTCGACATTATGTTGACAGAACTCAGCAGTGTAGATGCAGGTATAGTTTTGTCGAAAAAAGTCCACTTTTGTCGACAAAACCCTGTAGTCTAGACACACCCTAGTAGAGGTGTGGCGCCAGCCAGGCCTCAGGGAGGAGAAGGGTCTGTGCCCAGTGGGAGACCATGAAGGAAGAGATAGAAGAGACTTTGCTTAGGATTTGACTTTGCTTTAGCTTTCACACAATCATAAATCATAGAACACTAGAATTGGAAGGGATCTTGAGAGGTCATCTTGTCCAGTTGCCTGCCCTCACGACAGATCCAAGAACAGTCTTGATCATCCCTGAGGGTGTGTCTAGACTACATCCCTCTACTTCCCTCTTTTGACCGAGGGATGTAAATTAGGAACTTCAAAATTGCAAATGAAGCCAGGATTTGAATTTCCTGTGCTTCATTTGTATAAGCATGTCGTGGCGCTCTTTTGAAAAAGCGCTATTTCGAAAGTAAAACCACAATCTAAACGCGGTTCTTTCAAAAATAGAAGCCTCAAAAAATGAGGTTTACAGGATTTTTCGAAAAAGCCTTCCCTTTTGGAAAGAACCGCATCTAGACTGAGGTTTTACTTTCGAAATAGCGCTTTTTCAAAAGAGCGCCACGACATGCTTATACAAATGAAGCACAGGAAATTCATATCCCGACTTCATTTGCAATTTCGAAGTGCCTAATTTACATCCCTCTGTCAAAAGAGGGATTTAGTCTAAACACACAGGTGTCTGTCCAACCTGCTCTTAAATATCTCCAGTGATGGAGATTCCAACAACCACCCCCTCCCCAGGCAATTAATTCCAGGCGCCACGACATGCTTATACAAATGAAGCACAGGAAATTCATATCCCGACTTCATTTGCAATTTCGAAGTGCCTAATTTACATCCCTCTGTCAAAAGAGGGATTTAGTCTAAACACACAGGTGTCTGTCCAACCTGCTCTTAAATATCTCCAGTGATGGAGATTCCAACAACCACCCCCTCCCCAGGCAATTAATTCCAGTGTTTAACCACCCTGACAGGCAGGAAGTTTTTCCTGATGTCCAACCTAAGCCTCCCTTGCTGCAATTTGAGCCCATTGCTTCTTGTCCCATCCTCAGAGGCCAAGGGGAACAATTTCCAGGCAATTTATTCCAGTGTTTAACCACCCTGACAGGCAGGAAGTTTTTCCTGATGTCCAACCTAAGCCTCCCTTGCTGCAATTTGAGCCCATTGCTTCTTGTCCCATCCTCAGAGGCCAAGGGGAACAATTTTTCTCCCTTCTCCTTATAATTCCTTTTAGATACTTGAAAACTGCTATCATGTCCCCTCTCAGACTTCTACTTTCCAAACTAAACAAGCCCAGTTCTTTCCGTCTTCCCTCGTAGCTCATGTTTTCTAGACCTTTAATAATTCGTGTTGCTCTTCTCTGGACCTTCTCCAATCTCTCCACATCTTTCTTGAAATGTGGTGTCCAGAACTGGACACAATACTCCAATTGAGGCCTAATCAGCACAGAGAAGAGTGGAAGAATGACTCCTCATGTCTTGTTCACTACACTCCTATTAATGCATCCCAGAATCAGGTTTGCTTTTTTTGCAGCAGTGTCACACTGTTGACTCAAGTTTAACTTGCCGTCCACTATAACCCCTAAATCCTTTTCAGCAGTACTCCTTCCTAGACAATTACTTCCCAATCTGCACGTGTGAAACTGATTGTTCCTTCCTAAGTGGAGCACTTTGCACTTGTCCTTATTAAACTTCATCCTGTTTACCTCAGACCATTTCTCTAGTTTGTCCAGATCATTTTGAATTATGACCTTATCCTCCAAAACACTTGCAACCCCTCCCAGCTTGGTACCATCTGCAAACTTAATAAGTGTATTCTCTATGCTATCATCTAAATAAGCACCCCCGGTACCTACCGTTTTCAGACACAACATTTTTTTCTACCATTGCAACACATTTGTTTAAACAACTTATTTATAGCCAGGCAGACAATAAAATTTTGGGGTGTAAAAAGTACAAAAATAATAAAACATTGTAACAAAACAAAATTTCAGTTTCTCCAAATTTCAGTTGTGTTGATGTACCCCTGACTTTTCTAGAGTACCCCAAGGGTACTCGTACCACTGGTTGAACCTGTGGAACCCCACTTGTTATGCCCTTCCAGCATGACTGTGAACCGTTAATAACTACTCTCTGAGAACAGTTATCCAGCCAGTTTATGCACCCACCTTATAGTAGCCCCATCTAGGTTGTATTTCCCTAGTTTATGGATAAGATCATGCAAGCCCGTGTCAAATGCCTTACTAAAGTCTAAGTATACCATGTCCACCACTTATCCCGTATTCACAAGATTTGTTATCCTATCAAGACTTATTACTCTTTATTTTATATTAACAAAAGAGGCCACCAAGAATGAGGTTTGTTATTATTCAGAATCAGAGGCAGCAGCACATGGCAAAAGGCAGCTGGTCCGCAAAGGGAGCTGGTTTTTAAACTGGCTCTCCTCATGGACCAGCTCCCACCTGGCATCCCACGCTGCTGTCTCGGATACAGAGGCAGCAGCGCTGAGTGGCAGGGGGCTTCTCAGGAGTGGGGCCTGAGCTCACTGGCTGCTGGACTGCCCCTGGGTACTATAGAATAGTCGAGTAACTAATATGAATTCATGAGGTTAATCAACTATTCAATTAACCAATATTTAACATCCCTAGCATGCAATCTCCATTAGCAAAATAAACCCAGATTTTAACAAAAGCTCTGCTCTGAAGTTTCTCTTACATCAGAACATTAGTTGCCTCTGCAAAACTGGGAAGCTCACTCTGTGTCCTTTCTCACAGCAGTTCACATTGATGGGGGAAATACCAACTGCAGGTCTCTTCCTGTCTTTCCATTATGCCAAAACGTTCTTGGTGGGTTCAAAAAGTAATCAGCCTCGGGGTTATTTTTTAAATAAACAATGATGCAATGTTATTTATAAAACTTGCTCTTATGTTAATATAGTTTTAGGTCTGAGCCCATGACTAAATCCTATGAAATCATATTAAATTACATGATACTGAATAAATCAGGAATATTAGTTCACTTTCCTTATGAGTCAGGATGCATCTTTAAAAACATTTGTGTAACAGGAGGTAGACAGGGATCCAGGAGTATTCAGAGAATACAGAATCAGTGTGTTTCTTTCCAAAACAAAAGAAAACCCCCAGCGTTCTATGGACACTAGCCACAATTTTCAAAAACAACTAGTGATTTTTGGGTGCCCAACTTGAAATGCTCAATTTTCAGAAAGTGCTGAGCACCCATCCCATGAAGTTAGGCCTCTTTAAGGGTCCTCAGAATGGGTTCCTCAAAATTGCTTGACAATTTTTTGCACTTTGCAGACTTTTTTATTTTATTTGTTAGGAGCATTCCCTGTTTTTACATTTATTTCCTACAATATCTGCAATAATACATAATATGGCAATTGAATGATTCTACTATTTTTTGTTCTATAAAA